CCATCGGACTTGGCGGGCTTGGACGACGTAGGAAGAGCTTGAGTCAGAATTGTGTAGGGGGTAAGGAGAGGAGGAACAATGGAGGCTAGGGTAAGAGAGGAAGATGGGATCTCTTTGGGTTAGAAAGAAAGAAAAGAGAGGTGGTAGGGAGAGAATTGGGTGCCTTGGGAATGAAGATAAAAATAAAGAAAAAACCTTTTAACTGCTTTGGGCTAACCGATGAAAACTATTTTACAATTTATGTACAATTTGGGTTAAACCGGGTAAGGACCTAAAATATGGACCTAATTTTGTTGGTACGTGGGTCAATTGACAATGAAGGTAATTTTCTGATGGGGCATTTGCATCTATACCCACTTTTTGGGTCACATTTTAACTTGTGCCCGCTTTGCAAAAAAAATTGCAAGCGTACCCACTTTTTCTCGTAACTTCAGCATACGAGGCTGAAGTAGCAAAGACAATCACGCAAAACTTCAGCATTCTAGTAGATGGGCCTGAAGTAGCAAGTGTGCTGAACCAAGTGTGTGCTGAAGTTTTTGTTTGTAATTGCTGAACTTAAGCATAGTAGCTGAAGTTTTGTTCTCTATTTGCTGAAGTTTTTGTTTGTAATTGCTGAACTTAAGCATAGTAGCTGAAGTTTTGTTCTCTATTTGCTGAAGTTTTTGTTTGAAATTGCTTAACTTAAGCATAGTAGCTGAAGTTTAGTTCTCTATTTGCTGAAATATTTGTTTGTTATTGCACTAAATAAGCTGAAGTTTTTTGTCCTGGATTCATTAGTTTTGTCATTAAGCTTTTTCAAAAACTTCAGCAGAAGATGCTGAAGTTATTTAGTTCATTTATAAAAACTTCAGCACTAAATAAGGTGAAGTTTTTTTTGTCCTGGATAAGCTTTTTCAAAAACTTCAGCAGAAGATGCTGAAGTTATTTAGTTCATTTGTAAAAACTTCAGCACTAAATAAGCTGAAGTTTTTTTGTCCTGAATTCATTAGTTTTGTTATAATCAGACTAATATAAAATAATCAGATTGCCAACAGTATCTAAATCATAAAATTTGGAAACATAAACGTGAAAAGAACAGAATTATCATGAAAAGAATCACTAAGTGTGACCATAAACTTCCCGTACATGAAAATATTCACAAATTATTGTCTACTAACTTACGTAATTATTTATAATTTGTTTTTAAATAATCTGATAAACAAACTTATGGCAATCATCCCATGAACTGAAGTTTCATAGCAGCACCAACAGCAGCAGAAGAAAGAAGAAGAAGAAGAAGAAAACGAAGGAGGAGGAGAAAGGGGCTGAAGTTGTTTAAAAAGTGAGTACAAGTTAAAACTTTTTAAAAAAAATGGGTATAGGTTAAATGGGGGCAATCAAATAGGACGCCACGTGCAATTTTTACTTTTCTGACGAAGGAATAAATAGAAAACAGAAGATTGAGGGGAACTGGGAAGTAACAAATTTTTTGTTACGAAATAGAAAAAGAAAGAAAGAAAAAAGAAACTGAAAAAAGGAAAAACAATAGGAAACTAAAAACATAACAAAATATAATTTTAGTGGGCAGAACCCAAACTTGTGTTGCCACTTCTTTCTATGTTTGGTTTCTTTACTTTTCATTTCATGTTTTTTTTTTTTTTAATTTCAATACAAGAAAACGTTAAGAAACAAAAGTTCTGTTCTTTCTAATAAAAGAAAGTAATCAAATACCGATATTTAATAGTGGACTAAGAGAATTACTGTGTGTTAAAACCACGTATACATATGTTATATCTAAAAGTCACAATCTTACTTGAAAATCTTTTTATATTTTTTCATGTATGAAGGAAAATATAATAATAAAAGACACAATTCACGTAGGCTCATTCTAATAATGATAATTCACAATTGCGATTTCATCAATATTTAGAATTAAACCAAAACTTTTACATGAAATATTTATCTTATTTGTTTTGACAAAACTTATAAAAAACATTTCTAATTTGATTAAAACACCGCGCTTCGCGCGGACATATTCCCTAGTATCTGATAAGTCGGAGTCGTATTCTGCATCAATTCAAGATGCATAATTCTATTTATTGTTGGTCAAATCATTATTCACTTCACTCCATGATATATATTTTAAGTCATATATCAATTTCAGGTACATATCGCATTTGTGCACAGTAGAGTTATAAAACTTCACAATATCGGTTGGGCGTTTGTATGCGTCAACAATAACCATATTAGCCATTTGAAGAGCTTTTGTTAAACGAACTTTAACTACCTGTCCAACTCTGTAAAATATCAATTGGTAAAAACATAGGTTGTACCAAAGGTGAAATTAAGTTGTCAAACAAACAAATATAAGTTGAGTACGAACAAAAAGAGTACGTGTCAATTTCATTGCATGCAAGGGTAATGTGCTTCTGCTGCCACGTGTTAATGGCCTTTTAAGCATTATATCTGCTGGACTTCACGAGATATTTCCTCTCCTCTCCCCCCTAGAAAAGAAAGAAGGATTGATGCAAAAGTTCTGAAACAATGGAGCTTGTCTTGGATTTAATTCACAAAATCTTGAACGCTTATTTACCTCATATGGCCATAACTGCACTCATCCACTTCATGCCTATATATCTCTTTCTCAAGTTTCTTCACTTCATCTTCCGTTCTATATTTAGCGAAAACGTCGCTGGTAAAGTTGTCCTGATCACAGGGGCCTCTTCTGGTATCGGCGAGGTTTCTACCCAACATTTTACACATTACTGATCCCTTAACATCCAACATTTTACTTTACACCTATGGTTAAGCTTAAATGCACAAGTGAGAATATTCATATACCTGACCTCAACTTGTTTGGATGCGTAGTGGTTGTATTGTTACCTATGGTGTATGAATATTTGCACATGTAGTGAGTGAGGTCATTTATAAGGTTATTAATGTGAAATTTCTGATAAACATTAATTGATAACTTAAGTAATCTTATATCACAGGTTAAATTACAATGATAGGTAAAAAAAAACTTTAGACTGTCATATATATATATATATATATATATAACTTATTCCTTGTTAGATTTATAATCATTAGAGTAGTAGGTCTTTTTTATATGCAAGACTTGGTTGATTAATTTGAGTTTGTTATGGAAATTGAAGCATTTAGCCTATGAATATGCTAAAAGAGGTGCTCGTCTAGTGCTTGCGGCAAGAAGGCGCAGAAGTCTTCAGCAAGTAGCAGATATGGCTTATTGGCTTGGATCTCCAGATGTTGTTCCTGTGCATGCTGATGTTTCCAAAGTTGAAGATTGCCAGCGATTAATTGAGGAAGCTATAAGTAACTTTGGTAGATGTAAGTGTAGAAAACTAATAAATTTATTAATAGCGAATGATCATCTTATATTGGATGTAAAATTAAAGAATTGTGTCAATTATGTTTAAGTGTCAATGATTTTGTTGCTAATTTTGCTCTAGTGGATCATCTGGTGACCAATGCTGCTGTGACGCCCCTATACATGTTTGAGGACCTTATAGAGGTCACCAACGCTGCACCCGCAATGGTAAAATCCATATTCTTTTTCCTTTTATGTTCATTATTAGCATCTAACACGAGTGAAGTGCGTACATGTCCGGTGTTTGCTCATAGTATAATGAACATTTTTGGAAAGGAAAACCAGAGATTAATTTGCCATATGTTATAATCTCAGGACATAAATTTCTGGGGTGCAGTTTATACTACCCATTTTGCCATCCCCTATTTGAAGGAAACCAAGGGAAAAATCGTAGCCATCGCTTCATCAGCTGGTGTTCTGAATGCAGCCAGAATCAGCTTCTATAATGTATGTTATCTGGCAACGACTTTGAATTACGTTCTTCTTCTGCCTCATTGAGCTTGAATATAATTCAGTGTTTCTACAGGCAAGTAAAGCTGCGATGATTAGTTTTTATGAGACGTTGCGGGTAGAACTTGGGACACAAATTGGGATTACAATAGTCACTCCTGGACTAGTTGAATCTGAGTTGACCAAAGGCAAATTTCTCACAATAGAGGGCAAGTTGGAAGTGGACCAAGTAATGAGAGACGTAAGTTATTTCTTCTGAATCAGATATCAAGTTTTTATCAGAGACTTACCTATTGCCTTAGCAACATCGAGTTGTGCAGCCACCCTATCTAAAATTCCAAACCTTTATTAAGCTATTAGAAAGACAAAACAGTTTCGTTTATTTAATTATGTCTTGATTTATTTAATTATGTCTTCAAGACTGTCATTCAGTTATATTTATTTTCTCAGTCTTCTCAAAGAAGATACTAGCAGGTATTCATCTGGTTTTTTGCAATTGTTACCAGGTTGAAATGAGTGTTACTCCTATACTGCCAGTGCAAAAATGTGCTACAGCAATTGTCAGGAGTGCATGCCGTGGAGACAACTACCTAACAGAACCACCATGGTTCAAGACATTATTCGTCTACAGAATATTTTTCCCTGAATTTCTAGAATGGTTCCAACGATGGTTTTTGTTCCCAGGGCCAGGGCAACCGCCAACAGAGGCACCCAGCAAGATAATTCTAGATGTGACTGGATTTAAGGAATATGGTTATCCAAAGTCTGTCCTGTCTCCACATATAAAAGTGGATTGAGGAAACTAATAGAAAACTTAAGCTTGCTAGAATAATGTCAGCATGCAAACTGGCCAGAATGTGGTTTTTATCTTTTCATTTTGTGGAGTACTGAAGATGAAAGAAACAAAACAAAAGGAAAACAAGGTTGAAAAAAGAGGCTGACCATTGAACTAATAGAAACGCACATACCTTCTAATGTTGTACACTCTTATAATTACTTACTTCAGATTGTTGATGATGAATAAACTGATTGCAATTTATCCTCTACGTTAGTCTGTACCAAGTCACTTTGTTCGATATTTTGTCAATGCAAAGTCTGCAACGAAGACTGCTTCCACCTTTGTTTGAGAAATTCGTCGAATGAGAAGTTCAATGCGTTCAATGCTCGACACAAGGTCCAATCGTTTCCGTTTAAAGCTATTGATTGATTCTTCATAGCCTTTTGTCATACAGCTTCTTGTGCACAAAAATGTTCTTTTTTTTTTGGGTAATAAACTGTGAGTATGACCATAACAATCAAAAGATTTACAAACTAAGAGCATCCAGATTCCAAACCACCTTCTAGGAAGGGTGCCCAGTATTCTAAGATCTCAGAAAGACAAATCAGTCACCTATGTGAATCTAATTACAAAGCCTATGAATCAAAACTTGACCCTTTTTAGCTTTCCCAGAACCTGCACAATTGCTAATTGTCCCTCTAAGTTCCTTCTGAATCTGTGTGACTATGAATTCTTTATTTACATTTAATTTCCTGAACTCCAATTCTGGAAATTAAATGTAAATAGAGAGTTCATAGTCACACAGATCAGAAGGAACTTAGAGAGAGAATTAGCAATCGTGCACAAAAATGTGAGTCAATAAATAAACATGTATAATCTTACAAGTTTATGGTCCTTCAGTGAAGATCACTTTCACTTTTCAGCATACAATCTTCTTGCGTTAGGTTCTCCTATAACAGCTTAGGTGCAATAACACATGAAGTAGGAATCCTATAAAGAAAAGCTCCACAAAGAACAGCAGTGAATTACCTCAAAATTCAGCAACAGTTTCCAAAAACGTCTCAAGGTCTTCTTCAGGTACAATGACTCGTTTGCTACAGAAATAGGAGCAGTAGTAACCACGTAACTGCAAGGGTTCCCCTTTTCTCCAGAAAGTATAAACATATCTTCCAACTCATCAACCATATCAATTTCCTTATCAATTACTGCAGTGGTATTAGCTTCACATTTTCCTGTGGACGCTAATTGTAGAGACAGGAGTGTGGAAAGTGGAAACAGTTGCGATAGATGAAAGGCAATTTCTTCTCTAAATGCCCAGCATGGAGCCATGGCAGACACTGTATCTTAACTCCATGAAGAAAAAGGTTATAATTAGTATATATACAGAAGAGATACCTAAACACTTGGAAGCTGAATTCAGTTGATGTCCTAAGATGTTGTTTGGCACAACTGTGGGCATGCTTGAAATAGGAAAACAATTATCCAAGAGAACAAAGTCATACCACGTTTCACTTTTCTCCTAGAGCTCCAATTTACAAGTAATGCACGTCTTTGTAACCAAACAAGAAAGAACTGCAGTGTACACGTAACACGTCAACAAATATCTTTTTTGTGTGTGTATGACAGAAGAATCAAGCAAAAAACTTCAGTTAATAGATTTTCCAAGACAATGACACTACCTTATATTTGCCTTTCTCCCACTGTGAGATGAGAATGGGAAATATATGACTGGGAAAGAACAAAATGAAGTAGTGCAACAACCATTTGCCAAGAAGATATACTAAGAGGAAACTGATGCCTACAAGAGAATGATAACAACGAATACACATAATCTGGTAATATGATCAGTACAAACTTGACCAAAGTGATGACCATGACTAGTCCAGTGAAGGAAGTTACCAAGTTTTTCACTTGGAGAAAAACATGAAAACTGATAACTTAAGCTTTCTGATAAATTTAATAGACCAATCAAGACAAACTGCAATTTGAAAGATATGCTTCAAATAGTCTGATTACGGTCTTTTGTCGAGACTGTTCAATTTTTGGTTGTAATGAGCATAAAACAAACCAAGATTTTCAAGTACCTATCAACTAGAATTGTCAAAATCATCACTATCTCGAAATTTCAACCACCTCTTGCAAAACTCATATACCAACAGGTTCTCCGGAGACTTTTTGTCAAACTGGTAGAAGCACTGCCAATCATTAACCAATGACAGTTTGCACCAAAACGAGGATATCATATTTCCACAACCAGATGATGGCCAGACTTTACATAGAAAGTATTTCAAATTTTGAGATTCAAGGAGCATTCGTTCATCTTAGAGAGCTAATGGAGCACATTAGGTATACAAATTCTGAAATTAAATGTTGAATTTCATAGTGATTAACACATGCTAGTGAATGAAATGATAGTGCAAAGAGAAATCACTAGAGTCTCATCTTACTCATGCTAAAGACCTGAAGGCTCCCCTAAACGTATCAGCCAAATTAGCTCATCAAGAGGCATCAGAAAATTTAGGTATGCACAGGCAGTAAAAAAATCCTGAAGTTAGTGTAAACTGCAGATAAGCTTTTCTTAAGGTAGCAAAGTGCCTTGTTCGTGTACCTTACAAAGAATACTGCTTTCTCCAATGGACATATAAACAAGTGGAGCATCGACAACTGGTGGCATGCAGCACAAGTAGCTCTAGTCACCAAAGAAGGAACTACTCGGGTCCTTGTTCTGGCATTCGGCAACAGAGAATTTTAATAGAGCACTAAAATTGGTAATTTCTGTATAAACTCAGACTTTCAGCTCAAATGTGAAACCTTCGACACACACTATAGTGCTGGCATTCTAGTACTAGAGTGAACTACAGCTCCTCAGTCCTCACTGACCAAGTTGATATTAAGCCTCATTAAAGGTCAAGAGTTTGAATGTGGAAGATGGCCGAAGCCCGATTCAGCTGAAGACAGAAAAAACAGCCTTCAATTTCATCTTTAAGTCAATACTATCAGATTATTGCTTTAAATCTAACTTATGCCATTATCTTTTAAACCACAAAACTACGACAACCATTGAATATTAATCTCTACCCTTTAAGAGGACATAATCAGAAGTTGGTATGTGAGATTCCAGACAAGGTAAACTTTTCTTAGTCCCTCTATATACCTTTTAACACGTGGTACCGTATTTACTTATCATCCACTAGTCTCTCTACGATCCTGCTAAATTGTCCACCATCCTACCCAAAACTTCAATTACTTCAGGGACCAACATCAAAAGCCCATGCCTCAGATTGACATTACTGAGAGCAACCTGCAAAGGACAGCATTGATCCATATGAGAATCTAAAAACACTGGCGCACCTTCTATCCTCCGCAGTTTTCATCTTCTAGGGTAGATTTGTTAAGAGATTTAGTAGGGAAAAAAAAAACAAAGAACTGGCAGTATTCCTAAAATTTACCTTCAGCCTAGCAGAAGCCAAAACATCGAGAACTTTTATAGCCCTGTATTACATGCCAAACACACATTGAATGCCATCTGTCATGGACAACTTGAGAGGCCTCTTTATCTCAACAGCTGCTCTGGTGTACCTGTCTCAAAGAGGACAACTGATATTCACAACCTCATTCTTCTTGAACAGGAGAGGGATGCAGTATCATAATAGTTGCAGTCACATAAGGACATGGGTTCACACTAAGTATTACGTGCTATAAATAGAACGACCGTATATCATAATATATTATAGAAAGGTCCATGAGAGAAAGCCTAGCCCTATAAGTTCAGTGTCTCATTCCCAGCATTGGAAATCAAATTAAAAGGGAGTCACAAACATAACAATTAACAAGCTTTGCGAAAATGGCAATAGTAAAGAAGTGCTTGTGAAAGAAAATACTCATTAAGCTATAAAAATTTCAATGTCGGAAAATCAGTTTCATCAATGAACCTCTTCTTGATCCATCCTTTTGCAGCCAGGAGACATTGTTGTTAAGTTATCCGGTTATGAGCCATTATTGTGTGGTCCCTTTCTAGTGGTTCCTTCTTTTCTTTTTTTGATGATTTAAAGTCCCAATTCTATTCAACTTATTACTCTTGATCGAGATGTCAATATATAAGTTTAACTTAGAACGGAGGAATGCTTTGAGCAAAAGATGATTGTCCAACTAAAATGGGGATCTGTTGACAACTTTCTGATGTGCCAAATAAATTCTTTTCTTGAGAATTAATCAATCAATCAACTCTATGTCTATACTCCAACCCAAATTAGTTGTGGTCAACTATATGAACCCTCTATTCAGTCCCATTTCTTTCTGATACTAAGTAGTACCACATGTTTTATAAGACAACTAAGGGATTCCCCAAAATTGAAAGTATAGGTTTCTAAATCCCTTTCTGGAGAATATCCACCCAGAAAGTTTTAAGATGTTAAAGGAAATAAATTACAGATAAATATGAATAGCTGATTATTGTACAAGAAATTCTTACTTCTGAAAAGAAAAATTCTATATGAAATATCTTAAACACATGGTGAAACAAAAAAAAAAAAAAAAAAGGTAACTCAGACCACCTATCCATATACATAGCTGACAATTGTAGAAGAAAATTCTTCATCATCTTTTCTTCAAACTTAATGTACAGTTTGAACAAACTGGCACCTGAAATTGCTTGTTGTAACCTTATCTTCCTTTTAGTTTATAGGGGGAGAAAAAACCCAATGCAGATAGGATAATTAAATAAGTCATTGAAGTTAAAATTAATGAAGATAGTTGAACCAAAAACTTGAGTAATATGTATCTCAAGTCATAGCCTCTTCATTCTGCAATGACGAAAGGATAAAAAAAAAATTAAAAAAAAAAAAAAAAAAAAGAGGGAAACTGACCTCAGATTGTATGTTCCAACAAAATCGCAAGTTGCAGGGAGAATAACAAATCCGAAAATGTGAGATTGATTTGGGAAAAAAAATTTGGACCATTTCTCGATTTGTGCGTGTCATCCTTGCGCAGGGGCCATGCTAATCTTCTCTGTATCGTTCCAATTTTATCGGATGTCCCCGAAGGGACAAAGTCATCTTTCTTCTTCTGCTATATGAAGCAATGTAAGTTTTAGCATTTGGTCGGTGTGGGAGTAGCTAGTTGGGGGACTTTCCTTAGCACAGAGCCGGAATGGATCTTCTTTTTATGCTTAGTTGAGTTCTTTAAAAAGCCCAAATACCATTTACCAAATGGGCTGCAGTATGATATCAAACTGCTCAAGCCCACTAACCCAATTAAAGTGTTTCATGTTAATTTTTTTTTTTTTTTTTCAAAAAGTGTTTGATGGTAATATTGAAAGTGCCATTACAGAACTATTTTAATCCGTTGAAAGATGGATGAAAAGAAGTAAACAAATAAATTAAGAACATCAAGTATTTCGTTTTAATCCGTCATTCCTATAAAAGTGGAGTGTTTTCCATATCCTATATTAGACTAGTACCAAAGGCGGATCCAGGATTTAAATCCTATGAGTTTAATATTCAAGGTTTTTTACGTTGAACCTATTATATTTTTAAAGTTATGGATTTATATGTATTACTTTTGCAATTTTAATGAATTTTTACTCCACGTCGAAAGTTATGAGTTCAATTACACCCGTCGGTTCAACGCTACATCCGCCCCTGACTAATACGTGGAACCTAAAAATTATACTACTACTTAATAATTGTTCTCAAACTAATTACTATTTGTGGGATAATACTCAGTATGTTGTTGTTATTGTAATCTAAAACAAAGTAGTTTGGATTTTAAGAACATTTTATTTATCTGAAACTGTATTAAGCTATACTTAGAATAAGTAATTACATAGCTCTTTAAAAAAATACAGAGAGCTTTTAATTACTTTAAATTGCAATTTTATTCGTCCACCTTCATATGCATACAAATTTCACTATTTTTATTAACTGTATAACATGTGACCACTTAGTTATATCCTTAAAGGTTGCTATTTTTGTATTTTGACGTCATAGATGATGAAAAAAGCACAATTTCATTGAATTCATAGTTAAAATTCGTCAAAACTAGCTCAAATTAAAGGACCAAAATACTTTATCCTAACAAATATAAGGCGCTAGTGATTAGTACAATTACGCAGTGAAAAGGTCTCCAACAGTAAATGATAGACCATAAACCAAGAAAAGTCTCAAGTAAACAAATCCACTATAAGATTCATTATATGGCCTCCAATAAATTATAAACCATAAACCAAGAAAATCTCTGATGTAAGGAAATCCACAATAAGATTCACTGTTATCAAGATCATAATTATAAATTTAAAAACTTACCAAAAACATTGTGAACTTGTCCCTATAAATAAACAGAAAGAGTTCTTAATTCAAAATGCACCTTTCCATAAACTCAAATAAATTAAGACATTAGACAATGGCCAACTCCAGCGTCTCAAAATCGCTTCATCTCGTCTTTTTTATTGTGTTCCTTCTCTCAGGTATTTACTTTCACTCCCTCTAAACTACAGTTAGCTAGTAATTCGTACGTTAAAATGTTTGTCAGTCTTTCAGCCACTCTTTGGCTTCATATTACTCTTTCTTTTATTAACTTGTTTGATCTTTTGCTTACTTTCACATGAACTTTGTACAAATTAATTCAACCAAGAATTGCTAATCCTAATTAAATTGTTTAGAACTTAAGCGATATGTTTTTGCTAATTTTTTAGTTCATGTCTATACATGATTTTTGGTTGAAGACCGCACGGTTTATATATAATTGAGTGCTACTATTAGGGGCGGATCTGAATGGGTTCGGCCGAACATAGTCGCTTTGGTTCAAACTCTATATTTTTCTTTTAACAATTATAGAATATGTATAAATTATTAATTTAGAACGCAGTAACTTAAAAGAATTAGATTTCTGAACTCACAAATTTAAAATCCTGGCTCCGCTGTTGACTACTATCTATTATATGAGATTAATTATAAGAGAATGAAATCATGGAAATCTTCTACTTACCTCCCTCTCTTTACAATTAGTCGTTTTGATCTTGAAAACTATACAAGTATTTTTATATATAGAATTGACATATATATAGAAAAATGTTGGCTTATGTTCATGCAGTGGGCAAGGGTATAGAGGCAAAAACATGTAGCGAAGAGTTGCAAGGGACAAAAGTGGTGTGTCAAGGAAGCAAAGCAGATGGTCCATGTTGGGAAGCATGTCAAAACAAACACGGCGCAAGTGCCACAGCTAGCTGCATCTACCCGCCTCAGTTAACCACTCCAACTTGCTGGTGTACTTGGGATTGCTAACTATATTATATATGAAACTTTCAGGAATTATTCATGTTCTATTCATATATGAGCAATATTAATTATGTTGTGGTTCTTTTATATAATTTGAGAAAATATATATAGTGGTTTGACGTTCATTTCATTTTATTGTATCTTTGAGATGTGCTCAATCAATCAACTATATATCCCAACCCAAACTAGCTATGGTAGGCTATATTATGAGTTCTCAATATCCACTTCGCTATGTTCTTTTCCATTATTTCTCAAACCCAAAAAGTTTTAAGATGTTCACTGCATCAATAAACTATACTATAGATAAATATGATTAGCTGATTATTGTGTATGGGGTCAAATTTGACCGTCAGCATCTCTACGCCAGAGGGTACGCCCAGTGAGTGTACGCCGACTAACGTAGCGGGTACGACTCGGACGCGGGGACAAAAGCGACATCGTTTAGGACTCAGTGTCTTCACTAGGGAGACGTTACCTGTCTTTGTAACTTTTTGATTCTTTCGAGGAAGGTCTCTTATTATATAAAGGAGACCTTCACATTGTAAAAGGGGGATTCAGATCTAATACAATTCTCTCATTTTCTGGCTTTCTCTCTCTATCTCTACCTCAAACGAACATATCTTATTGAGTTCATATTATCACTTTGCAATACTAGATCTACAACAATAATATCATCTTTGCATCTCTAGGTTTATTATATTTGATTACGATTTACCCTTTCCTTACTTTTGATTGTTTTCTAGCTTACAAAGTATATTGTTAACTTTTGAGCGAAACAATTTGGCGCCGTCTGTGGGGATTTCGAGAATCAAAATCATAGTATCCACCTAGAGAACAACCAAATACCATTATCTAAACCACACAAACACAAAAGATGGCTGAGAATAACCCAAGATCAAAAGCTATATTGGGTGTCACTACCAATCTCCTTGGCCCTCTCAACGAGGCCAGTGACGATGGCATCCTGAATGCAACCCCTAGTATCACATCGGGTGCGGAGATCTCACCTTCCCCATCCGAAGATCTGACGATCTTGCACGAAAAGGGAGCTTCCACATCTGCGGCTACGGAAGCACCCTCAGCGGTCAAGAAGCTACTGGAAAGATGGCTAACAAGCACTCTGAGTAGCTTGGATGAGAGGTCACCACAAAGTAACATCAGGTGTACACCAACGGTAGATACCACTGCTGCCATGGGCGAACCGGAAGTTGCACTAGCAAATAACGAACCCGTCGAGACACAAACCAACGATGGCACGCTAACAGCCATCCTAAAGAAGATGGAAGAAATGGAAAATGAAAACAAGGCGCTCCGCGATCAGATGAAGGAACATCGGGAGAGGGTCGACAAGATCCCCGGTGCCCCCAAGTTGCTACCAAAACGCGACGTGGGAAGGTTCGTTGAACAACCATACACTGAAGAAGCTGCCCCTCACTCCACCCTAAAAACCTTCAAGATGCCACCCTACTTGAGGGTATATGACGGAACCACTGATCCCGAGGATCATCTGATCCACTACGTCACCGCTGTGAAGGGCAACGACCTATCAAAGGAACAGGTACCGTCGGTACTGCTGAAGAAGTTTGGCAAGATGTTGACAGGAGGGGCTTTAACATTGTACTCTCAGCTACCAGCTAAGGCAATATCAATGTTCGAGGAAATGGCGGATAAGTTCGTCATAGCCCATGCAGGCGCGAAGAAAGCGGAGGCCAGGGTCAACGACATCTTCGCCATCAGGCAAACTACAGGAGAGGGACTCAGGGACTTCCTAGCAAGGTTTAACAGAGTAAGGATGAGTCTACCAAACATATCGGAAGGTATGGTAGTCGCCGCTTTCCAGAACGGGCTAAGCAGGGATGGTTCAAGGGCAACCAAGAAGTTGCTGAGCCGCCTCATGAAATATCCCCCTACCACATGGGAGGAAATCCACAACGCCTATTGCGCTGAGGTACGAGCGGACGAGGATGATCTTAACGGGCCGACCCAACGGCTAACAGTGATACATCCAGAAACGAGGAGAGATCGACGGAACGAAGGACGACGAGAACAACTCCCTCGCTCCAACAGAGATCGACATCAGCCATACACCAGATCCTCCCATTCGCCACCAAGGCATACAGACGCGCTACAGCGACATGTCGCCCCACTCCGAAATGAAAAAGGTACGCCTCCTTTATTATCCGCCCATAACTTTTGTGTGTCTCCTTCAGAAATAGTGTACGTACTGGAGAAGCAGGGCACTAAAGTGCAGTGGCCGCAAAAAATGAAATCAGACCCCGCCACAAGGAAATCAAACGTCCTATGTGAGTTCCATTAGGAACGGGGGCACAAGACCGAAGACTGCATAGGCCTACGGCAAGAGGTGGCCAGGATGCTGAACCAGGGATACCTGAGGGAATTACTCAATGACAAAGGGAAAATCAACTTTGCACGCGGACGGGAACAACCCCATGGGCCGCCAAAGCTGCCCTCCCCAGCACGCACGATAAACATGATCGTCGGAGGAGGCGGCAACGTGGCGATCAATCACGTCAAGTTCACCACCACGCACAAACTAAAGCGGACCATCGCCCATGAACGGTATGACGACTTCGAAGATAGTATCACCTTCGATAAGTCTGATGCCGACGGTTTATCTTTCCCTCATTATGATGCTTTAGTTATCACTTTACGTATCGCTGATACAGATGTCAAAAGAATCATGATCGATGACGGAAGTGGCGCCTGTATTATCCACCCAAGGGTCCTCGTACAAATGGGACTCGAGGATAGGGTAATACCGCGCTACATAACACTAACCGGTTTTAACAATGCAGTGGAACGGACGTCCGGAGAAATAGCACT